GGCACCTGGGTGACAAGGGTGTCCCACCCCTAGGTCACCCCCTCAGGTCCACCGGTGAGCCAAAGGCCTGGAGGGCAGGACAGGAGAAAAATCCCCTGCCACGTGGCGGGCTGCAGTTCACTCGGGCACCGGTCATTTCTCATAAGATGGGGTGCGGGTGGGGAGTGAGCAGGAAGCACCCATCTGGCACAGTGGGGGCTGCAGACTCGTCCTCCCAACCCCGTGCCTGCCTGCGTCTCCTCAGGGCGCCTCCAAATGAAAGGGTGTACTGCGTGGGTCTAGGTCAGGAGGGGGGTGTGCGTGCGGCAGGGTGGTGCCCTCCGACCACACCTGTCCCGTCTGGGCGTCTGGGCGCCGAGCTACGCGCCGGAGAAGCTGGCTCGCATGCAGAATAGGGAGGACTGATGCGTCTGAATGACGGTGCCGCTGGAGAACACGGGAAGGGCCGCGGGCTGTCACAGAACCAGTACACCTGTGTCGGGACCAGTAAGGCCCGAGGCCATCCGGGAAGGCATCCTTGCTCCCTGGAGGCTCGGGCGGCCAGAGTTCGTCTTCCATACTTGGGACGTGTGGTCAGGAGAGACCAGGCCGTGAGGAAGGACGTCACGTTTAATAAAGGGGAGGAGCAGCGGGAACAAGAGGCGGGAAGGCCCTCGGGGAGATGGACGGGGCACGGTGGCTGCAGCCGTGGGCTGGCCACAGCAATCATGGTCAGGACGGCGCAGGACCCAGCGGGGTTTGCATGTGTGGCGCGCGGACTTGCTGTGGGGCGGAGCCCACTCCATGTCCCCCACCCCCCACCCCCAACCCGGGACAGCAACAGCGGCAGCTGGGCAAAGAGGTCGGCTCGGATGCGGAGACTGTCTTCTGGGGCTGCAAGGGGGCAGTCCTGGTGGGTTTTCTCAGTGAAATGAGGACAGTTAGCGGGGTGACTTAGAGGAAGACGTGTGCGAGAACACAAGACTGCGCTGGCGGGGGAAATGGCCAGGAAGCGGCACAGAGGCTTGTTCTCCATGGTGACAAACGCCATGCCCATGTATTCTTGGGGGCGGGGCAGCAAGCAGGGGTTGTCCTGGAGAATGTCGCCCCGCTCACCCTGCCCCTCTGATCGTGCCCCTTCAGACCTGTCTCTGTTCCTTCAAACTCAAAGGTAGCACTGTGTTGTTGGGTGTGTTTTTTGACCCGGAAGAAGTGCGGTCAGAATGCCCCTAGGGGACAGGATGGCGAGACGTGGTCTCACATACGTTGGGCGTGTGGTCAGGAGGGACCAGTCCCCGGGGAAGCACACTGTGCTCGGGAAAGCGGAGGGGCACGACGGAGGAAGGCCCTCAAGGAGGTGGACGGGCACCCTGGCTGCAGCAGGGGCTCAGGCGCAGGAACCGTTGCCAGGACTCAGTAGGGCGCGGGACCGGGCAGTACTTTGTTCTGTTGTGCACGGGGTCGCGATGGGTCGGGGCTAAGTCGATGGCACCCAACAATGACAACAACAAGTTCAGCTTTTCAAAAGAGCAAGCTTGGGGTCGCTGGAGGAGGCCAGCGCTGTCTTTTTGGCATGGTTTCAGGGTGGGTGGGAGGCAGTGCCCAGCATTCTTCGGGGGGAAGGGTTAGGATGACGGAAGCACTTCCATCAGAAATACTTCACACCCAAAGCCTCAGACCAAACCCACTGGCCTGGAGACAATTCCAAGTCCCGGGGCATCCTAGCCATCTTCTCTCTGCAGGAGCAGGCAGCCTGGTCTTTCTCTTGCAGAGCGGCTGGTGGGTCTGAACCGCTGACCTGGTGGCTAGCAAGCCAACAGTTCCTAAGCCCCAACGGCCAGCAGGGCCCCTGTCCCTTTCTGAGCTGCTTGTCTCAGAAGAGTTCTGTTACTGGGTAGCAACGCTGGTTTTAAAAAACGTCCTTTCTTTCTTGTGCACCTGGGTGAAGGTTCACAAAGCAGATCGCCAGTTCCCTGCCCCCCAAATCCGCACCCAGGTGGTCCCATCTCCTCTAGGCCCACCCGCTCCCTCGGTGTAGCCTCACCAACGTGCCCCACTCCTCCCAACTCCTTTCCAGATGCTTCTGGACTTTGAATTGTAGCACAATGCTTCACTTCCGCTCTCCCAGGAAACAATGTATCTTTAGGGACCCTGGCCACATAGCGGTTACACATTGGGCCGCAATCTGAAAGTTCAGCAGTTCGAAACCACCAGTGGGAGGAAGACGGGGGCTTTCTACTCCCATAAAGAGTACCAGTCTCGGAAACGCACAGAGGGGGTTCTCCCCCCGTCCTGCAGGGTCGCTGTGCACAGGCATTGACTCCAGGGCAGGGAGGTTGTTTGTTTTGGGGTTTTCTGTGCACAAAAGACATTGAGAGACACTCGGAGGTACACCAGGACATCTTTGACAGAAGCAGGCGGCAGTAGGGATCAGGACAAGGTCCTGATGCAGACGATGGAGCAGCATCTCAAATTTTCACTGTGGCGGGCTTCTCTGGCTCCTAACTACGTTCTGTCCAGAAGCCAGACATCTGAGACCCAGACAGAGGCTGCTGGCAATCTTTATGGAGGGGCACCCCCCCCTCCCCGGTGGATTCTAGGTTAAGCACTTGACTGTGAGCTGTGAACCAGAGGCCGACAAGCTGAACCCAGCCAGCAGTAGAGGAGGAGAAAAATTTAATCTGCTCCAGCAAAGACCTGCAGCCTTTTCTAGTCCCCCACCCACCCCTGTCCACACCCATCAAAGGCAATCTTTGCTGGAACAGAGCCCCTGGGTGGCTTAGAGCTGCCAGCCTTTCCACTGCACACCCTGTGGCACACAGGGACCTTGCCAGGGGCCAGAGAGCCAACACCTCTGGCTGTCTGGCTCGGGGGTGGTCCCAGCCTCTGTGCTGATGGCTTGCTGTGCTTAGGGCCCCTGGAGTGGTTCTGACTCCCAGGGACCCAATGCCCACCACCACCCTCCCCATCATCCTTGTGCCCGAGCCTTCTGGGGCAGCCACAGTGCCCCCCATGCCCTGTAGGCCGTCCTCTTTGTCACTGCCCCTCCGCTTTACCAAGCATGGCGTCCTTCTCCGGGACCGGTCTCTCCAGACAACTGCCCAAAGTCCGTGAGACCAAGGCTCTCATCCCGGCCTCTGAGCAGCTCCCTGGCCGTCCTCTTTTGGAGATGGGTTTGTGGGTCCTTATAGGTCTCCGTGGAGCTTTCTGGATTCTTCTCCAGCCCCACACTCCAAATGCCCTGATTCTTCTATGGTCTTCCTGGTCCCATGCCTGACTTTGACGTGCACAGGGGGCGAGGGGGAACACCAGGGCTTGCAGCAGGTGCACCTTCGTCCTGGGTGTCAGCTCCGCCCCATCACGCTTCAAAGAGGCAGTTTACCCGAGGCAGTGCATCCTCTGGCATCCTGACCGCTTCCGTGGCCGACGGTGGATCCAAGCCAGACAGACTGCTGGACACCTGTGACTTTTCCTGGGTCTACGGGGTTATGCTGTCGCTCGGCCCTGCTGGGCAGGTTTGGGTTTTAGCGCCGGGTGGGGGGTGCGGGGGGGCTGCTGCCATCTTTGGTCCTGGTCGGCAAGTGCTTCGAGCCACATCCCCTTTCCAGGTGCATCCTACAGGGTCAGCTCTACCCTGGGGTGGGGGCGGGGGGGCGGGGCGGGATCGGCTCCGGGGTTGGAACCCATGGCTCCTGACAGCAACTCATCTGTCAATGCTGGAGGCCAAACCCAGGCCCCCCAGAGGGTCCCAGGATCCCTGATTCCTGCTTTGGCTGCCCTGGGGGATGTGACTACATCTTTCTGATGTGGGCTGGGGAGGGGGTGGGGAGGCAAGGGGGAGTCCTCTATCCTTAGGAGTTGTCTAGCCACACCCATCAGCCCCGGCGTGGAGGTGGGGGCTATTGTCCCTCTGAAGGGTCCTTGGGAGCTGAGCTTGAAGCTTCCCATCCATGGATGTCCCTCCCCAGGACCACAGGAGACCCCACAGATGGTGAGCACCGCTCCACTGTGTCCCAGATGGGGGGGTCTGTAGCGGTCTTACAGAAACAGAGTGCCACCCTGCTGGTCTGACTAATAGGTGCTGGCAGGGACCCTCAGCAGAGCCCTCCTGCCCCCCCCCACTGTCCCCCCCAGGAGAACCCCTACCTGTGGAACGAGTTTGCGGATGCGAAGCTGCTTTTCTACAACAAGGAGCTGCTGGACACCGTGCGGGCCGACCAGGACGCAGTGGTGCGGGAGTTCTGGCGCGTACTGGCCCTGTGCCACACCGTCATGGTTCGGGAGCACAACAGTGAGTGGACGCTCCCCCACCCCACCCCGACCCTCGACCCGTTGGGGAGCTGCCCTCAGGCCTCTCCTGGTGCTGGTGACCCTGCTCACCGCGTGCCTGGCAGTGGGAGTCCACCCATCTTGGAAGGAAGGCCTGGCCATTCTCTTCCTGAAAACCCCTTGCTACGGGTCATGAGACCCATGACCCGCCCCACCCGCCCCCAGGCAGAGCCCGGCCCGTGGCTACGACCCTGTGCCTGTTTTCCACTCTCGGTTTGTTTTTTTTCCTACACATTTTCTTCTTCTTTCTTGTTCCTGGGATTTTCCCCCAACAGTTTTAATGGCCTATGATTCACACCTCGTACAATCAAATCACTCCGTGGGACGGAGAAGCACTGTACAGTCATCAGCGCCCCCACCCAGCCCCCCGGCTGCTGGGGAACATCTTCTTCCTGCTCGTGCTCGTCACTGTTCGCCCCCCAGCCTCCCCCAGCCTCTGGTTTCCTTCACTCTCTGTGGTGACTCAGTCACCTCATTCCATTGCAGACATGCACGCGCGCACACGCACACGCACACGTTACCTGTCCGTGGTTGCCCCCTTCCCACCTGCTCCCCAGAGTCCCCGGCCCATGCTTCCTCCAGAATGCTGCCCTGGGGGCAATGCCACCATTTTGGTCCTGAATGGTTGATGGGCTTCCCTGGTGCCACCGCCCCCTTCTGTTTGCCCCCCTGTCAACCACTGCACTTGAGTTCAAGTCCAGCCTTGAAGAGCCACTAAGGACAGAGCCTCAGGCCCCTGCTAGCCTCTCTTTGAACAGGAAGCCTGGTCTCTCCCATGGCTTTGAGTTCTCGTCCACATTTCTCTCCCGCCCCACCCAGGATCCTCTCCTGTGACCCCTCTCTCTCTGAGCAGTTGGTGGTCCTGGAAGCCGATGTCTGCGTGGTCCGGGAGTCCACTGGGCTAATGAGCTCCACGCGTCTCTGCTTCTCTTCAGCACAGGGGCTGTGCGTTGTTGTTTTTTTAATACTTTTATTGGGGCTCTTACATCTCTTATCACAATCCATACAGTCATCCAGTGGGTCAAGCACATTTGCACACACACCGCCATCATCATTTTCACAGTATTCTGTTCCCACTTGAACCCCTGATATCAGCTCCCCCTTTCTTCCCCCTCCCTCCACCACCCGCCCACCCTCCCTCACGAGCCCTGGATAACTTATAGATTATATTTTCCATATCTTACATTGTCTTCTATCACCCCTCACCCACTTTTCTGTTATTTGCCCCGCTCGGAGGGGGTTCTAGGTTGATCTTTGTGATCAATAACCCCTCTCCCCGGCTCCCTCCCCTAATCCTCCTGGTGTTTCTACTCTCCTTGTTGCGTGGCTGTGTTTTTTAAGCACCCATGGATGTGACCCTATTTGGAAACAAACGTTTTTCTTTTGTAAAGACGGGACTTTCTATTTCCGTAGAGAGTTAATGGTCTCTGAACGCCCACAGTGACTTGTTTTGTTTCACGTGAATGAGGGCACAGGAGTGCAGGCCTGGTCCCTCCCCGGTTACAGAAAGAGCAGAAGAGGTTCAGAGACACACAGGTGGGAGGGAGACTCCAGTGGGGCTAGAGGCAGCTGCAGGCGCCCGAGGAGCCCCGGGCTGGACTCCTGCTCCCAGGAGCTGAACGGGGCACAAGGACAGATCTCTCCAGCTGACGGACCAACCGGCTGAAGCTATCGGTGTGTATGGACCTTGCAGAGAGGGGGAGCGATGAGAGAACAATGTCTGTCGTTGAAATCACACGTGGATGCAGTTCTGCGGAGGATCGTTCAACATCAGTTGCAGCAGCACGTGGATGGGGCGCCGACGGAGGTCCAGGCCGGATCCAGAGCTGGATGATGGACCTCATTGCCGATGTCAGATGCATCTTGGCTGAAAGCAGAGAAAGCCAGAAAGGTGTTGAGCATGTGTTTACCTGAGCATGAAAAGGCGTCGGACTGTGAGCGTTCACTCTTCCCTGGGCTCCCGTGGAACCTGTCCGTGGATCAGGGGGCAGTCATTCCAACAGAACAGGACCGCCCTGCGTGGTTTGAAGCCAGGGAAGCGTGCGTGCGTGCGTCAGGGGGGTGTCCCGCCACCTTCCTCGTTCAGCCTGTGCACTGAGCCAATCCCCAGAGAAGCGGAGCTGTGTGGCGAGGCAGCTGGCCTGGGAAGTGGAGGAAGGCTTATGGACGACTCCCAAGCCACCGCTGACAACCTTGTTAGCTGAAAGCGGGGAGGACTTGAAGCCCTTGCTGATGGGGATCAAAGGCTGCAGCCTTCGGCCTGGATCGCACCTCACTGTGGGCAAGACCCAACCCCTTCACCTGGACCCGTAGACAAACAACATCCTCGTTCGGGGGGAAAGATCAAAGTTCTCAGGAGACTCATGTCGCTTAGAGCCACAACCAACGCCCATGGAAGCAGCAGGCAGAGGTGGAAGGATGGGCTGCTTTGGGTCCATCTGCTCCGTACGAGACCTCTTTCCTGTGTTTAAGGAGCGAAGAGGTCGCTCTGAGGACTGAGGTGCGGGGCCTGAGCCCAGCCATGGCACCCCCCACCCCCCCATCGCTGCATCTCCACGTGAAAGCTGGACACGGAGGGAGGGAGACTGAAGGAGAACCGATGCATCTGAACGGTGGGGCTGGCGAAGAATACTGGGTACCATGGGCTGCCCAGAGGGCACGCACATCTGTCTCGGTGGAAGAACGGGCCAAGAGACTCCTTAGCCGGGGCGGCGAGACGAGGTCTCGGGTACTCTGGACCTGTGGTCAGGAGAGACTAGTCCCTGGGCAAGGGCGTCATGCTTGCTCAAGTGGGGGGTCCGGGGGAAAAAGAAGACCCTCAAGGGATGGGTTGACACCGCGGCTGCAGCCGCGGCTTTAAGGAGACAGTTGGGGCTGTGGTGTGCGCAGGGCCCGGCAGGGCTGTGTTCCGGGGCCCACAGGGTCGCAGGGGTTGGGCACGGACCCGATGGCCCCAAACAGCTGCATGGGTGGGAATGGTTGTCACGGCAGTAGGTTACTTACTTGGGTCACTAAACTAACCCCAAACCAGAAGCCAAAACCACCGGTGGATTCCACCCCACAGCCTATTTCTGGCCATGGTCACATCCAGAGTTGGACTTTGGCCATCCGATACAGATGCAAATCCCAGGGACAACAGAAAAGTGGGTGAAGGGGAGACATGGGTCAGTATAAGACATGAAAAAAAAAATTACAAATGATCAAGGGTTCAAGAGGGAGGGAGGCTGGGGGAGGGGGGGAAAGAAGCTGATACCAAGGGCTCAAGTAGAAAGAAAATGTTTTGAACACGATGTTGGCAACAAATGTAGAAATGTGCTTGGCACCATGGACGAATGGATGGGTTGTGATAAGAGCTGTACGGGCCCCCAATAAAATGATTTCAAAAACCACCACAAAACAAACCCAAACCCCAATCCAATCCACAATAGGACCCCTGGTTGTCTTCTCTTACGGGGTTGGGACCACAGCAGTATCAGCCTTTGTCAGGTACCCACCGTGTGCCTGGGGAGGCGGTGGGGACCCCACACAAATGTCAGGGCCCAGTTCTCCACCCGTGCCCACCCTCCCATCCTCCCTCCCTTCCCAGAGCAGCTCCAGTACCAGGCCGCATCCCCTGATGAGGAGGCCCTGGTCACTGCTGCCCGCAACTTCGGCTACGTGTTCCTGGGGCGGACGCAGGACACCATCACGGTGATGGAGCTGGGGCAGGAGCGGGTCTACGAGGTGCTGGCCATGATGGACTTCAACAGCGTCCGCAAGCGCATGTCTGTGCTGGGTGAGCCACCGGCTGTGCCTGGACCCTGGCAGGGGTGAGGGGCGTGGGGAGGGGGGGAGATGGGGGTGCGCCGGGCCAGCTGGGTGTCTCCCGCCTCCCCCCCACAGTCCGCAACCCAGAGGGGTCCATCTGCCTGTACACCAAGGGCGCGGACATGGTCATCTTCGAGCGCCTGTGCAAGAAGGACATGACAGAGGTGGCCACGGAGGAGGCCCTGTTCGTGAGTCCCTGCAGCGGCCCGTGGCTCGGAGCAGGGTGCGGGTGGGGAGCCAGGCCAGGTGTGCATTGCGCGAAGGCACCCCTCATCCCGGCCCCACACCGGGTGGCCAGGGAGTGGAGGCCGCCACGCAAGGACCCCACCGGACAGGGTGGGATGGCCCCAGTAGGGTTCTGAGATGGTCACTCTTTACCAGGAGTAGAAAGGCCAGTCTCTGTCCCGCGGAGCCGCTGGTGGTTTGGGGACTGCAGATGGTGTGGGGTTCAGGGAGGGAGGGTGACGGTGGTGTGAATTCTCTCCAGGACCCTCTGTGAGACCACCGTTCATTCAGGGTGGGCCACTCGCTCCCTGAACCCTTAGTGGTGCCATGGTTATTCTGTGCACGAAAAGGCTGGGGGCTCGAAACCCCCTCCTCTCCCTGCCCCCACGTCAGCTCTGGGGAAGCTGGGGAAGAGTTTGGAGGTGGGGGTCCCACGGGAACACAGAGCGCTGGACCGGAGATCCCAACAGCAGCAGCTGGTGCTTACCCCACCCCACCCCCTGACACACGGGGCCCCCAGCCCTGGGTTTCAGGAATAGCTGTGCCCAGCTGGCAGCTACCGTGGCTCTCTGAGGCTGAAGCCCAAACTCTCACCCAGCTCCCCCTGTCCAAACAGACAGGCTTGGGGCTGTCATCTGGCCAGGGAGGAGTTGGGGGGGGGGAGACCCAAGAGGGGGCTTTTGTGGGGCCATAGCACCTTCCTGCCCCTGCCTCCCAACTCCAGAGGCCTTAGCCCTGACAGAGCCTCCCCATTCCACCCCCACCCCACCTACCCCCAGCTCCAGTCCTTGCCAGAGGAGGCAGGGGAGGAGGGCTTGGGGGTGAGGGTGGGGGGTGTCCCAGAGAAGAAATGAGACTGCCCCAAGTTGGCCCTGGGTGCAGGAAAGTGGCTGATGGTGGAGGAACAGCGTGGGCCAAGATTGAGGGGTGCAGAGGCCCAGGGTCTGTGTCTGGGGGCCCTGGCAGCTGGGACGCAGGGGCCAGGGGCCTCCAAGGGGCCCACTGGCTGCCTTAGGGGAGGACAGACTGCTGGGGGGCGGTGGGGACTGGAGAGAAAGGCGCCTGGCTGGGCTGGGGGTGGCAGGGCGTTGATGAGCCCACTGCCTTGGCCCAGACCTTCGCAGAGCAAACCCTGCGGACACTGTGCTTGGCCTACAAGGAGGTGGACCCGGATGTGTACGCTGCGTGGCAGCAGCGACACCAGGAGGCCAGCCTGCTGCTGAAGAGCCGGGCGCAGGCCCTGCACCTCTTGTACGATGAGATGGAGCAAAACCTTCAGGTGGGTGGGTTGGGGGTGCTGGCGGCGGCGGCGGCGGTGGGGCTCACTGTCTCTGCAGGGGTGCCTCCAGGCTCCTGCTCAGCCCCCTGCCCTGTGTCCCCAGCTGCTGGGAGCCACAGCCATTGAGGACAGACTGCAGGATGGCGTCCCTGAGACCATCAAGTGTCTCAAGGATGGCAACATCAAAGTGTGGGTGCTGACGGGGGACAAGCAAGGTGGGTCCCAGGCCTCATCCAGTGTGAGTGTGTGTGTGTGTGTGTGTGTGTGTGTGTGTGTATGTGGGGGAGGGGGGGCTGCCCGCAGGGAGGAGGAGGAGGAAGAGGTAGGCAGGGCAAGAACTGTCCCACCTGCCCAAAGCCTGGTTGTCAGTCCAGGCTGGTCTTTGGGGTGAACCATTGCCGTCTGGAAGGTGTCCTGGTGGCACGGCAGTGAAGCGCTCAGCTGCTACCCAAAAGGCCAGCCATTTGCACCCACCAACCCAGCGGGAGCTCCTCCTCCGGAGAAAGACCTGGCAGGACATCTGCTCCCCTCACCCCGCCCCACCAAGTAGACCCTGTGGGCCAGTGGTGCTCGTCACCTGGGGTTGCTATGGCAACAACAGCAAGTCTAGTTCCAATTCTCAGCGCCCCTCCAGGACAAGGTGGAACTGCCCCAGTGGGTTTCCAAGACCGTAGCACCACCCCTCTTTTAAAATTTCAACCGTGTTATTGACATAAAGCTCACAGAGCGTACAATTCAGCGCTTTAATCATATTAGCTCATTGGCAGGCATCACCACGCTTTCAGAACATT